CCGCTACTCTAAAGAATCCTTTTCTTTCGATAAAATCTTCACTTGGTGCCTGCTTTGCTTAAGAAGAGCTACTCTTTTGAGGCTCGCCACCTCTTGCCTCAATTCGACAGACTTACTCGAGCTAGAACCTGCCTGAGCTTTTACCATTCGCTGATAAGTTGACCGAAGATCGTCAAAGTCTAGCCGAAGTTGCTTTTCCACTTTTTCAATTCGATATGCTCTACTCTTCTGAATGTCGATCTCCAATCCCTTTTGATACACTTCATCTTCCAGTTTCTGCAAAGTTATTCTCCATTGTCTCCGTTCTGCTTCGAAATCGCGCTTGGCTAACTCTAATGGAGATGGCACCACTCTTAATTGTTCCTTCACCGGCTGAATATTTTCAAGATTCACTATCGGGATGTTGTCATTTACTCGACCGCTTCTCCATTGCTCGTACTCTTGAGATAACTCGAGATCATAGGTGAACAAATTCACGCGACGAGTTTGCTTCCAGGCCTCAGCAACCCCTTTAATTTTACCCTTATACTGATCTCCTTTAAATGCGAAATTCGACCCTACCAATTCCCATGTGGCTGGAATGAACTGCCTTGACCCATACTGTCTGGAAACTAGTAGCGGTGCATACCCAACAGAACCCCATATACCTGACAAAGGAACCCAATCTCGCTCTCCACATCGGTAAAGTATATCCGAAGAGGTATTCCACGAAGCTCGCCACAAAATATCTCCATCTCTGATATCCTTGAAGATGACCATCCATTTTTCTTCGGTGAAGCCCCCAGGCCATTCTTTAGAAAGAAAATCCTTTAAAGGCGAAAACCCCTCTAGAAATACTCGTCCTGGTGCTCTTTCAACATGTTTGAAATGACTCAGAATCCACACTAGCAGCAAAGGCGCACATCCTATAAAGCGTCATTCTCCCTCGCGCCTACAAGAACTCAAAGACCGGAACGTCTCAGCTAAAATGGTTGGAACAGGATCCACGTGCTTATCTAATCTTTCAAACAAGCCAACGACTGTTACGTCTACATATCCTAGCACCTTTAGAAAAATAACGAGCCCATAAATCCCTAAAGCAAACAAGTCAAGCTTCTTTATCTTATCAGGGTGATGATCAATTACTTCTTTCAAAGCAGCCCAAGAGATGCACTCACTGTCTCCTTTCTTCTTAATGTTTCTGATTACCCAGTCTTCACTCATTCCGGTCATCAATAGTAATTTCTTCTTAAACGAAGGAGTGACTGGCAGCTTGGTATATACTCTATCCATATGGGACCTCGAACAACGGACCAAAGCTTGATACTCCTCTATTGTTGGTGTTAGATCCACTCTACCAAATGTGAAACAGCTATAAGTCGGGTTCCAGAACTGTGCCAATGCTCTAAACAGATTTCGGTCAATAGGAACATCCAGAAGATAAGGAATATCGCCGTACAACTGATAAAACATTTCCTTATCGGCTACTGTCCATCTTCCACATATCTCCTTTAGCTCACTTAGATCATTCTGACACACGTTGATGTGAGTATAACCAAATAACTCTGACACATATCCAGGCATCACGCTGTCCCCATTGGTCAGTTGGGACTGTTCCGACCACCTCAAAACATTTGCATTGTCTTCAACCTCTTTCTGAGCCGTTCGTTCCATATTACTGGCCTTCTATATGGACATCGATCCCAAATCAACACCATGTAATGGATCGTGCAATGCAAAACAAAAAAGAAACAAGGCAAAGATAACAAAAGATCGGTTAGTAAACGTAAAGCAATTAAGTCGGGATAATAATTTATTCAAGAATCCTACCCACACATGCTGGCTACCCAATCATGCTTTATCAGATCCTACCCAACATGATATCTACCCCCATGCTTTGTTATTCACAAAAATAAATCCTAACCGCATGATATCTAATTCGCATGCTTGTTCAAAAAATAAACCTAACCGCATGATATCTAGTTCGCATGCATTTATTCGAAAAAACGAAAATAAATGACTCAAAAAAGCTTTTCCTTGTGTACTCTCCTCACGGGATTCTTAAGGTTTGGGTTTGGCTCAACCTAAGTTCAGGCTCTACGTTCACTATATGTCGGGTTAGGTTCTAAAGTAATAGGTTCTCGAATTGTCCTTGTCGGTGCCCCCTTGGGCTGCCAAACCCTCAATCCTGGCCCATCATAGGCTTTAGGGGATCGAGTTCAATTTCGAGGGAACACACCTCCTTATGTCCATGCGGAGGTGATTACCATCACGAGGACCATAAGGCGTGAGCTCCAGGAGCGATCCACTATCCCATGCGGAGGTAAAAACCACACGAAGGCATAGTCTCTCACTCCTACTTAATTAGGACAGAGCGGGGTTTTAGCTCATGTCATGAAAATGCAACTGTGCAATGTGTGAGGAAAAGCGAAAAAACACAATAAAAACACTCAAAATTTCCTAAATTCACACAATTAATTTTAAATCATTAGCAAACAAATTAGTTCAACTATTTAATTGTTAATCGAATTAAATTAAAAAAAAATCAAAATACAAACAAAACTTATTAAAAACCAAACAAGGGATAAAAAAAACCAAATTAAAACAAATTTATAACTTTCAATTGCAAAGACACTTAATTAATCGACTATCGGCCTGACTCTCTAAAAAAAAGTCCCCAGCAGAGTCGCCAAGCTGTCGAAACGATTTTTTCCTAAAATGGTGAAAAAGGTGATATTTTGAAAACCACATTAATTCTTAATTATCTCTTTTAAATTTAAAAACAAATGTGATTTAAAAGACCTCTCGTTTCGAAAAATTTTGGATTTCCTTTACGATAAAAAAATACGGTTCGAAGAGTCGCCACCAATCTTTGATTAGGGTGTGATTGGGCACCCAAAAATGTTTTGTCATTTTCAATAAAAATTAATTTTAATTAAAACAACAAATTAAGGTCCGCGTTACCAAAAAATGAGTTCGGGAGTCAGTTACATGTGGGGAAGGATTAGCACCCCCACAACGCCCTAAATTGGTACCTAGTCGATTAATTGACGTCTTTGCAATGAACTTTATAAATTCAAACTTAATTTTATTTTTGATCTCATAAAATGAAAATGTAAATTTAAAACATTCAAAAACACTCAAACAAATTAAATTAAAATTACCAAGTCGTTTTAGAAAGATAAAGAATGTTCGATTATTTACAAATATCGAGACCAGATCTTAAAGATATAACAACATTTTCTCGATATATTTAAATAAACGAACATTTCTTTTTCTCTCATTCCCAAATTTTAGATGACGAATCAATTTTTTGGTTTCACTTTCGAGACACACTTTTATTTTAAAATCATTAAAAGCGGACCTCAAATCAGTTATGGCTGCCCACTTAAAACAATTTTAAATTAAAAATAATATATTACCCTTAATCCAATTATGAATATGTCGAGTTATGCAAGTGAGGCTATCATGCATATTATACAAAATAATGTCATGTAAAAATTAATTAAATAATATCCTTTATTCAAATGAACACCTAAGTCTAAAATAAAGTATGGTGATATGGTATATACATGCATACAACGACATTGACATACATTAGAATAAAACAATATATACAATAAAACATACTATTAGTAATTCGATTTCATATTCAAAATTACCATGAAGGATCAGAGTAAAATAAAATTAAACTAAGCATGCAAAGTAGGAATTAGCCATTAAATTTAAAAAACATGCTAAGTGCCTAAATTGTCAAACAACCAAAATTACAAATTATATTTCAAAAATAAAACATAAAAACATTTCAGGACTAAAATGAAAAGTGCTCATAAATATGAAGACCAAATTAAGAAGGCGCAAAAGATTCGTTCAAGGACCAAAATGAAAGTTCCATAAATTACACAACCAATGTAAAAACAGTGCAAAAATGGCCCTAACATGATTCTGGGCTAAGATATAAAACGCTTAAAATTAAGATACAAAATCAAAAACCCAATAAAATTCAATTTAAGGACCAAAAAGAAGCAGGCCGAAAACGGAATGACCTATCACGCAATTAACCCACTATCCTAGAACACAGAAGGTTCCAGCCTGATGAAACACCGTCGTTTTGGACCTGGCTAAACGACGCCGTTTGGACGTTCTGATATATGGGATTTTAGGGTAACACTTCTAACCTTAAATCATTCTCATTCTCTCCCCCAAAGACCTCAATCGCTTTCTCACAAACTCTCTCTGACCCTTAACGCGAACCAAACAACCGTGGCCACCATGGCCGTTACTGCCTAGGATTCCGATGAAGAGCCACACAGGTACGAACCCCATCACTCAAACAACCTTGAACCCCGATACCCACTACCGACGAAGAGACCAACCACCGTATACAAACCTAAACTCCTCTCCTTCGAAAGACTCGGCTACACTATAACCTAACAACCAAATAAGTTACGACTAGCGTCACATCCGAACGAGCCCCGAAATAAGAAATAGGTAAAAACAAAATTAACTTATTTCTTTATCACTCTATTCATTTGGGAAAGAAGATGAACATATGATTTTGCTTAGTATTTTAGAAGAAAAAAAATAGAGAAATGAACCTGCTTGTATACTGCTGGAATTCGTTGCTGTTATTGGATCACTATCTTTCATTCTTTTGTTGATTTGTGATGTTTTTGTATTGAGAAAGAGTTAAAAATGAAACTACTATCTAATGTTTTTTTTTATTCCAGAAGAGAGAAAGCCCTTTGTTTTACACTTTTTTTTTTCAGTCGCAGGAGTGGAACCCCTGTTTACAATGCTTTTTTTTTTCTTGCTAATGGTTGATCTCCTTTGTTGAAAATTCCTCCTTGTGTTTTCTGTTTTTGCTCTTCCCATAACCACTCGGTTAATTCTCTTCTGCCCCTTCTTTGTCTCCTTTTTTCTGTTATCTGATCGTGTCCTCCCCCATGTTTCTTTCTGGTTTTTAACTCCCCAGAACTGCTTTCATTTGAAAATGATATAGGCCCCAGACAAATTAAACATCTTCGACAATCATGATTTTCCAGAAAAGGGAATTTCTAAACTGAGTCTTTTGAATGAGCTTGATGACAGCTTGTTGCTTGTTGCTTCAAGTAATATTCTTTTCCCCCTATTCTTCCATGTTTTTGTGGGTTTTTTTTAATAATAATGGTAATGATCCATGGCTGATCTCATGCAGGTGATGGAAACATCCGAGTTTGGAATGATTATACACTGAGGGGGAAACAGAAACTCGTTACTGCATTTTCTTCTATCCAAGGCCACAAACCTGTTGTGCGGAGTTTGAATGCGATTGTGGACTGGCAGCAGCAGTCTGGGTATCTTGTATGTATTTCTTTAGAATGTTTATCTCTGGCACATTCTCGTTTGGCATAGTTGGATGTCTAATATAGTATTCTCCGTTGCTCTGATGTCACATGACTAGTATTCATCCGGGGAGATATCATCCATCATGCTTTGGGACCTGGATAAGGAGCAGCTCGTTAAGTCAATACCATCATCCTCAGATTGCAATGTCTCAGCACTGGCAGCAACAGGTACCTTTTCAAAGTAGTAATCTTATAAAAGTTATGATGTACAAGTTTGAAAATTATACTGCATATCACTATTGAGTTGGCTAATAAGAGGCATGCTGTAGTTGAAAACGTGCTATGTTCGAACAGTCATTAATTTTAATTAGTTTGCCGTTGTCAGTGAAGAAATCAAAGTGGTGAGTGATTTTTCTCTTTCACTTTCGTTGATGCTTTAGCTCTTCTGTTTTATCTTGTAATCAGATTTGTTTTGACCATTAATTATATCTTTTGTCATTGTCCCTTTCTTCCCTTTTGGTAGTTCATCTCTTGTTGCATTTTCCCCCCACACCAACAGGCTTCTTCTCGAGTTCATGCCGGTTAATTTGCAGCCGGTTTTGTGGATGGTTCTGTCAGACTATATGACATCTGGACACCCGACATGTAAGCTCCGATCAATAAGCTTGATAAAACTGAACATACGGATGAAATTATTTTTTCTGTCGTTCCTGAAAATTTTTATTACTCGACCCTGTGCCTTTTTCGAGAAGAAATGCTCTCACGTCATTGGTATTTATCTGTCTGATCCTGAGTTTTCTTTCTGATGTTTAGGCTGGTTTGTACAACAAGGCCACGCACTCAGCAAATAGAAAGAGTTGTTGGTATTGGCTTTCAACCTGGACTTGATCAAGGAAAGGTAAGCAACTCGTAGGTCTTATTTATGGTAAAAATAGATGTTTCGATTCAATGTAAAAGTAGTAACCATCCTTGTTCCTCGATGAACGCCTAGCTCAGGGTATTGATCAAGGAAATACAGAAAATTAACGAACTTACACATGTTTTTGTCAGATTGTTAGTGCATCTCAGGCCGGTGATATTCAGTTCCTCAATATTAGAAATCAGAGAGATGCATACCTTACAATCGTTGCTCACCGAGGATCACTTACAGCTTTAGCCGTTCACAGACATGCTCCTATAATTGCCAGTGGCTCGGCGAAACAGCTAATCAAGGTCTTCAGTCTGGAAGGTGAGCCACTCGGCACCATTTGATACCAACATACATTCATGGCCCAGAAGATTGGTTCTGTGAGCTGCCTTACCTTCCATCCCTACCAAGTCTTACTCACTGCCGGTGCTGCTGATGCCTGTGTATCTATCTATGCCGATGACAACTCTCATACAAGATGAATGTTTGGATTCTTTCATGATCTCTCGAAATCCAGGAGGCTGCATGAAGCGAATTAAACCGTTTTTCATCGAAGTCGGAGATCCAATGTTAATGGTTGCAAAAGAAATATTCAAGTCCAGATTAGCATTCGATTGTTCGGGGATATTCTGTCGCCAGATTTATAATTCCACTGTGGATGTATATTCATTCTGGATATATATAGGTAGTGGGAGCATTGTAAATATCAGCATTTATTCCCCATTATTTCATCGGTTTCAATGTGTTAATATTTCACATCCTTATAATTTCAAGTACTGCAAGAAGATTAGTTATGGAAAGCCCTAAATTGCCTCTTAAAGCTATCACCCAGTGGAATATTTGCTTTGAAATTCTGCTATATATGCAAGTTCCAATATATTCAATTATTGATTCGATAGAATCGGAAGAAAGAATAGTAATATGACAACAATAATATTGAATCAGAAATCAAAACTAAAACACAAAATCCAAGGCACATCAATCTGAAGAAAGACAAACTCCAATGTCTTAGATACGGATTTACACCAGAGATTTCACATGCACATATATCCTACGCATGCAGCTGAACCCCAAACCACAATTTCTTTACTTCCTCCCACCAACCATGCTCTGTGTGTTGTTCCCCGACAGGTTAGGCGATGCACTACTGCTGGTTGTCATCTTATGCCTTCCATCCAGCACATTCAAGTCTTCAAACAATCGGTATGATGGGATAAAGGGCTTTTGTCCTGTAGCAGGAGCGGCATTCCTAGGACCGGTACTCATCCATGCATCTCCATTCATTGGTGCTCCTCCGTTTGTTACTCTTGCGATGCCATTTGCAGAAGAGTGGTGATTTTGGCCGCTGAAATAACCGGGAGTAGCAGCCCATGGTGGAGGGGGGTACCCATACTGAGGCTGAAAATATGGTCGATATTGAGGTTGTCCATATGGCTGGTTTTGAGTTGGGGATCGTGACGGAGGTTGATCATGAGTTTGCTGTCGTGCTTGGTGTGGAGACTGGGACTGGGATAGGGATTGTGGCTGGAATTGAGGTTGGGGTTGTGTTTTGAACTGTGTTCGGGCCTGAGACGGTGAACTCGACTGGTTTTGAGTTTGAAGAACTCCTTGGAACTGGGTCTGTGATTGGGATTGTGGGTCCGTTTGAGGTGATGCTTGTACATTCTGTTGGGAATGATATTGTGGCTGGAATTGAGGCTGGGCCCAAGGAACCACATAACCATTGTATGCCGCAGGTCCCTGACTGCCAGGATAGGTTTGGGAAGCATAAGGATATCCCAGGCTGTTAGGAGTAACAGGTCCTTGATGCAAATTTTGGTGAGATGAGGATGGCATAGGAGGGGAATGGGACATGGAAGCCGATGTCGTTGACAAGGTGAGGCTTAGAAGATCAATCAAATCCTGCTCTTTTGAAGACCAAACTCGTGCAGGTGGGTCTGGTAAAGCTAAAGCATTGCTCGGAATAGAGGTTGAGGCAGTCAACACAGAGGAAGTTGCCGCAGTGGCATTGCTGATTGGCACAATGGCTCCACTTGTTCCAGCAGATGCACTCTGAGAAGACGGGAACGTTGCTCTGGAATGCCTGCACTCAGAACAAACGAACCAGTCAAGAAATGGGCTAAATTGAACATATTTATGAGGTCTGATTATTTATAAGAAATTATCGGCATTCTATAAAAGCCACAAATAGTTAACAAGGATTGAGATATGGTCCGATATACGATAACTTATATATAACAAGGATGCTATTAATGCCGCGATTCTTTCTAGGAAGATTTTGCCCAACTACAAGCTGTATGCAACCACATGTAAAATAAGATGAATTAGGAGTTGGCGTATGGAACCTTCTAGCTAGCTGTGCAAAATCGTCTTCCTCTTCCTCTTCTTCATCAATATGGCTTCTTGTCAAAATAGGAACGGGTCCTGGTGGGCTGATATTAGGCGGACTGATATTAGGTGGGCTAATATTAGATGCCGGGCTCTTCACTTCATTTGATTTGTTGGAGCTACTTGCTTCAGTAGGCTTGGGACTTGCATCAGCAGCCTCAACTGGCAAGGGGGAACCTACAGCTATGGCGTCATGTTTTGCAAGTAAGCTTTGCATACTGTCATTCAATTCAAGACCTCGAGCTAAAAGTTCCTCATCCCTGCCACATAGCCGATAAGAACTTTAGATACACCGTACACGCACATAGGCCATGTACAAATGAAAGAATAGCTGATAAGAACTTTAGATACACCGTACACGCACATAGGCCATGTACAAATGAAAGAATAGCTGATAAGAACTTTAGATACACCGTACACGCACATAGGCCATGTACAAATGAAAGAACTTCCGATTTTAAGAATCCACACATAAACTCAGACATATAAATAAAACCAAACAGGTCAAATGCCAAAGGTAAGAAAAGGACCATAAAGATTATGATGATTTCTAAGAAAACAGGATCCGAACTTGTAAGTTTCAAGTCATTAATGTCATTTACAGAAAAGAACTTTGGAGATGACTAACCCAGTCGTTGTCAGCATTTGCATCAGCTTTTTTTGGTTGGAACGACATCGAGTGACAAGATCAACTATCACTTCATCTTTCACTGCCTGCCAATACAATAAAAAACGCAGTCATAAAAGATTTTGCTGTCAATTAAATTAAAGAAAAAAGGTTTTATTATTGTTATTCATACCGCACAATCACCGGGGTTAACAGCTTGCAGCATGTCAGTTAAGAGCTCCATGACATCTCTCATAGAGTCTAAGCTAGACAAACTACGATTATCAAAGAAAATTTCAGCCCCAAAAAGGAGACAAAAACACATGTAGACGAACACAAAAACTTTATGAACGGAACTTAAAAAGTGATTTTAGACCTTAAACTTTCAATCTCAGTAGCCATTGTTTCGTCAAGCCTTCTAGAAGAATTGCTTGGCATTCCATAACCAGGATTCATTGTTGGAACTGTAGCAGGTGGAGTAAAGATAGGAGCTGCATTTGATGAACGCTTGGGAAATTCTACTCCCGAACGCTGTCATTTGCACAGTTGCAAAATTTTAGAATCACTAGAATAGTCAAAGACAACGAGAGTAGTTGATCTTACAAGTGGAAATCCTCGGACATCATATCCTTGATGCCAGTCCACTGTGACAGAACTACTTAAGATGCTATCCTTACCCTTAGCTCATCATATGCCCAGTAGTACTGAGGATGTTTACCCCCTGGACCACCAAATGCCTCTTGCCAAGAGTCCAACAGTGTCAAAATTTTATCCCTCACTAGCATATCCGCCTGCAGAATTCAGGGAGCCAGGTTCATTAAAACCGACAAATAGACTCGAGGTTTTAAATAGAAAGAGATAACAGATGAAGCAGAAATAATACGAGAACACGATTGAAACAGATAGAGATCAGATGCTAAACCCAAGAATAAAAAAGTGAAAACATGGATAGAAAGGAAACACTACATTTCGGCAGAACCAATGACTTGGTAAAGAAATCTCCTCAAAAGCAAAATACCAAACAAACACTAACATTAACATTCATGACTAGCTAGCTCAACGATTTTCAGCATCCATCACTTGTTAGTTAGCATCAGTCATCCCGTCTTTCTACTACACAACTGGTGTCCTGAAAGGCTGAAACCTAACAGCAACCCGTACTTAAATTTCAATATGCATATATGGCCGCTAGTGTGTAGTATAACTAACGTCCGTTATAATTGAAGGGGTTTATGGCACAACTTCCGTTTTCCACCAACATATTCATACCACATATACAAATCGTCTAACAGCTATACTCGCAGTGCTTCTAGCTTTTTATCGTCGTGGCTTTTGCTCCACAGTTATCAATGATCCCTCGAAACACAATAGTTCTAAGCTAGTAGAATGTGCATTCTAGAGGAAATTACCTTCTTCCTCACAATTTTGACCATCTCCCCCAATACATTCCTCTCAGCAATCTGAAAATGGACGTAATCACCACAATTCTTCACCATTGTTTCCAGAAGCTACAAAGGGAAAACGGCACATGGTTAGCTCACAAAAGCACATCTATACATGAAATCTCCAATCAACGGAGACAGGAACTCGAGAAATTATTCTCCGACAAAATTACCGTCAAGGCTAGTAATTGAACTTTAGAACTCTTGTGCTGCAACCTTCTCTTCACAGCTTTTACAACATCCTTCGCTTGCCTGACAAGTTCACATCCAAAGCAAATTTTTACATCAATTTCCCAGTATTAAAAGGAAAACCCTGAAAATTAAGAGCAATTACTCGAATAGGTGATTTTAACAAAGACATCAAAGAGAAATTATATCACTTTGCTCTTCAATTATCTTCATGTAATTCAACCTGATGAAGTTCTTTTACATGAACCCCAAAAAGAATTCAATAAATTCCATCCACAAAAAGAAAGAAAATCAATCCACAATCCAATCATATCAACTACTCAAGCCAAAGGAAAACAAGAACAGCTGAGAAAGCCAATGAACAAATTCTTAAAACGTAAAAACATGCACGTAAAACTCAAGAAATTAAAGGTAACAAAAGAAAGAAAATCAAAGTCAACTCCTTTAAAAAACCAAGAATAACAAAACGAAAAAACAAATAAACATTAAAGATTTTTACCAATGATTAGAATTAACAGAGTCACAAATATCGATGTTCATAGTCCAATCAGGACCGATTAGAAGATCGCTCGTTGCCTTGTCTACAGCTACTGCGGCTGCTGATGATGAAACTGATGACATCATCATCATGTTTCCTTTTTCTCTCCGCTTTCCCTCTTTCCGTTCACAACAGCACAACAGCTTCTGCTTGTTTCCCGAGAAAATTCCACTCAAGGAACGACAACGAACAACGACAAAGAAAACCTCAAGCTTTCTGCTTCGAAAAAACTCACCACCTTTACCTTGTGCTTCGACAAAAAACAAACCCCCAGAGGAAATTAGAAAGGATAATTCTTCCTCTGCTTTCCTTTTTTAAAAAGATAAAAAGAAGTTTTAAGCAAAAAAAAATCATTTTTATACGGAAAATCGTTTCTTTGGGGGGATAATTTCAATTGAAAAGGGAGAAATAATGCCACTCGACCCGAGAATTTAAATCCTTCACTCGACTCGAAAAACATATCCCTTCCACACGATCTTTTTTTTTTTGTTAAGAAAATCTGAACTCAATCCGACCTAAAATAATATATTTATTAAAAATATTATTTTTATTCGATAAAAATAGGATTTAATTGAAAGAAAATAATATGCGAGGGGTCTTATTGTAATTATTCTTAAATATATAAGGTAAAATTATACTTTTTTTGGTTAGGTATTTTTTCACCCTAAACTCAAATCCGTTTTTTTTTTAAAAACCTGACCCGATCAGGTCAGGTCAGAACCTGTCGGATTCGGGTCTCATGCCCATTCCTATATAGGAGTGTTTTATGAGTTGAACAACTCGAACTCGACTTAGTAAAAACTCGATGAAAGCTCGACTCGAGTTAACTCGACTCGAGACCTTAACGAGTCGAGTCGAGCAAAAGTCGAGTCGAATAAAGTCTAACTTGACTCAATAAGTTCGCGAGCAACTCGTTAATTCTTTTGTATACAATTTTTAGCAATTATCTTAAAACTATTTCATTCAAAAAATTATTAATTTACTAATAGATAATAAAAAGAAGATAAATTATTAATCTATTAATTTTCTAATAAACAATATAAAATATAAAATTATTAATTTTATAATGTATTTTTAGATTGTTAATTTAGAATTTAAACTTTAAAATTATTTCATACACTCTTTTGATAATTTTTTTGTTAAATTTATTAATTTATATCTATATTAAGCTCTATATAGCATAAAGTTAAGAAAATAAGGTAAAAATTTTGATAAGCTTAACGAGCAATGAGTCGAACAATAAGTTCTTTTAACGAGCACTAGCCGAACAAAATTTTAATGAGATTAATGAACAACGAGTCGAGCCGAACAATTTTTTTGTCAAAATTTATTAGAATGAATATATAATACATATTTGAAATAAAAAAATAATTGATAAATTGAATTTCTTTGTCACCGAAAGCAAAATGGATTGAACTTGTGAGTTGCCTAAGGGCACACTTAATTCAAACTCATTTCAATTTCATGAGTCATACCGAGTTCTTTTGTTTCTCTCAAACTCATGGTGAAGGCCAATAAGGTAATTGCAGCAACTTTATTTAAATTATTTAAAAGAAAATAGAGGTGATTTATTTATTATAATTTTGTGAGATGGGACAAAAGTTTCATAGAAATTTACGGATAATACCAATTATTGTGAGTATGTGCCAATCATACATAAAACAATATGCTTTTTGGCTGTCATTTTCACCCAATTCCAATTCCCCTTTCATTTATTGCATTTTGTTAAAGTATTACAAAATATACAAAAATGGTCCTCGATTATATGATAATTTTTATTAAGTTCATCGATAATTAAAAGTTACAAAATGATCCTCCTAATATAGAATAGTGATTTATTAAGTCCTTCGACTATTAAAAATTAAAAATTACATCAGGCTATTCATTATGTTCCAAACTCATCATTTTTCGTTAAAAAATTGGTGATTGTTTAAGTTTGATGTTAACATGATAACTAAAATATGATAGTCATTTGAGATTCTTAGATCGTATTTTATTATATCATAATTAATAGGTTAATGTTCAACTCAGAATACCGTCAATTTTTAACATAAAAGGATGAGTTTGCAACATATGAATAGTCGAGAGACCATTTTGTAACTTTTAATAATCAAAGGATTTAATAAAATAATACCCTATAGTCAGATGACCATTTTTGTACTTTACTCTTAAATTTATTAAACTAATATAAAATAGGGCAAAGTATACAAATAATCCTCCGGCTATAGAGCATTACTTTATTAAGTCCCATAACTATTAAAAGTTACAAAATGGTCCCTTGACTATAAGACATTACTTTGTTGAGTCCTTCGACTATTAAAAGTTATGAAATGATCATCCAACTAGTCATATGTTCTAAACTCATTATTTTTTGTTAAAAATTGATGATAGTCTAAGTTGGACGTTAACCTGTTGACTGAGATATGATAGTCGTTTGAGATTTTGGGATCATATTTTATCATACCACAATCAAAAGATTAACGTCCAACTTAGATTACCGTCAATTTTTAATAGAAAATGATGTGTTTGAAACAAATGAATAATCATTTAATCATTTTGTATTTTTTAATAATTAATGGACCTTAACAAAATAATGTCTTATGATTGATGGACTATTTTATAACTTTTAATAGTCAGAGGACTATTTTATGTAGTTTACTCTGGAAAATAATCTAAATTATCGTTCGAGTATAATTAAGTGCACTCTAATATTCTTTACCCTTAGTTTTACTGGAAATTAAAATGATTGTAACATTGAATTTTGTATTTGTTGGAGGCGTAAATCTTTGACTCAAGCAACTGATATTAATTACACTTACAATATCTTTTTTAATTAATTTTGAGTGGTCATCATCCTACTTGATATATGCCCAATTAGGTATTTGTTTTTCTCTTTTAATATTTTTCAAATAAAATCAAAATAATTCGAATTAAAAAAAATCTATCATTATACCTGACATATTGAATTTCCTATAATATAGAAAATATAATTTTTTATTAATTTATTTCATCAAATATTTTTTTTTGTAAAAATACTATCCATAACACCTAATCGTCAACTATCAATAGTGTTTTTCATGTTAAAGTGATGGGAAAGTGATATAATCATGGATATTATATTGATTTTACATTATTACTTGTGTGTGTGGGGTTGTTAGGGGTGTTCATAATTTGTTCGGTTAATTCGGTCGATTAATTTTGAGTTCGGTTGATTATCTGTTAATTTTTTTTAAACTTTGATTTCAGTTAAGTCGGTTCGAAATTGGTTAATTAACTGAAATAACCGAAATTATTAAATATTTAATATATCATATATATTATTTTGCTTTAGGGTGTTTAAACTTCGGTTTTAACCGAATAAACCAAAAATATTAAATATTTATTTATAGTATATATTATTTATAAGTTTCAGTTAATTCGATTAACCAACTAATTAACCGAACTTAGTTTGGTTCGGTTAATTTTTTTTTTTTAAAAATCGATTTGATTAATGGTTAAAGTGAAAAAAACTGGTTAATAAAATTTGGATAATTCATTTCGATCGATTAACCTAATTAACCGTTTGAACACCACTAATGGTTGTTAGTGGTTTTACACTAGCCATGAAGTCATAAATAATTAAGTATATAATTAAGAAGTAATGAAAAATAGATCCAAGTTTAGTCTCATATAAAGTGCTCTTGAAAATAAATAAATAAATAAATAAATAAACTTCATTAATCTATAAAACTTTTCGGTGATCGAAATATTATAAATGGATAATTCAAGGAGTTAAAAATTATAAATGAATAATGCAAGCGACCAAACCTTAACCTTTTAATTCAATAAGCAAAAATGAATATTTATGGAATGAAAGTGTCTATTTCAATAATTTACCCTTAATTTTTATAAGATCTTGTAAGTAAAGATAATGATTTTAAGCTTTATTATTTGGATCCAATATCAGTTTAAATTTGTTTAATCATGGATTTTATTTTTTTAAAAATACGTATTTTGAAATTTATTGTTTGATATATGATAATAATTTTTGGTATAATAATTGATATTTAATTTTTATTAATCAACTAATCTAGATTAGGTAGTACAGAGAAAATGACGATATTCTCGAGTCTCGATCTAGTTTGTTTTATTTACAAACACCATTATTCATTTTTTATTAATAAAATTTTCAATCTTACAAATACTTTTATTAATCTAGGATAATTACAAGTTGTAGTATTACAATTATATTTTAAAATTAATGTATATTATAAAATTTTGATATACCAAATAATTATCTATAGATATTTATAATATGTAATATAAATAGGAATATATTTATAATATGTATCATAATATATTTAGTTGGTGATTATTTGGGCATCTTGTTGATCTATTTTTATTTAAAAATTTTAAATTAATTCTATCGTATTGATAAATATTCACAATCACTCCAAATATATCATATTTGAGTCGTAATGAAACCAGATAATGTGTCGTTATTGTCATTGTTCTATTATTATATTAATGTTTGTACCATTGGAAATAGTGTTTATTTGCACCTTTTATTTTTTTAATTATTTAGTTTATAATAGTAAATGATTTTAAGAAAAACTTATCTTAATATATGATTAATTAATTTCAAATTTAGTAGATTTTTTGCTCAAGAATATATTTTTAATTTATTTAATAAAATTAACTGTTATAGTAAGTTAAAAGAAGTATTTTTAAACTAATAACCGATTGGTCTATTAGGATGAGACATTATATTCCTTAAATAAGGTCAGGAGTTGGGAGGGTTGACTTTGCCTATGCAGTACTCAATCCGAATTAATTGATCGATAGATTATAAAAAACTATTTTTAAATTTATTTTTTTAAGGGTGTTCCTTGTTTAATTGTTGGTGCGAGAAAATGGAAGTTAAAGGCAAGTCGACACTACTAACAATCAGTTGGTTTAGTTGGATGAGGTATTAGGTCCCTTAAGTAAGGTCATAAGTTCGAATTCTGACGTTTACGAATAGAGCAAATTAGATTGAGAGGGTCACCCTCACCTCTATAGTCCCTGATCTAAATTAATCGATCTATATTTCGAATACCAATAATTAATTAAAAAAAAGCTAGTGGGCGCTAAAAATAAGACAATCATTCCTCGTGCGATAGAAAAGATGATTTCAGGTATTCCGCAGGATATGCAATCATTCTCCGTTCACCTCAAATTGCATAAGCACATTTCTTTTTCTCATTGATACATAATTTCAAGTTTGAATCCTCTTGATGTAGACCAGTCCGATTAAATGAATTATTAAACTCACCCCTTTCTGTTAAAAAATTGATGTATTCTGAGTTAAACGTTAATCTACTGATTGTGATATGATAAAATCTAATTCTGTAATCTCAAACGACTATCATATCTCATTCATCATGTTAATGTCCAACTTAGACAAACCGTCATTTTTTAACGGAAAAGGATGAGTTTGAAAAATAATGTATAGTTAAATGGTTATTTTGCAACTTTTAATAGTCGATGGACATAATAAACAACATTCTATAGTCAAATGATCATTTTGTAACTTTTAATAATCGAGAGATTTCATAAAGTAATACCCTATAATAAAGAGGTCATTTATATACTTTACCCTAATTTTTTTATGGTTAATCAAATTATAACATAATTATATTTGGTTTGAGGCTAAAAGTAAACAAATGGTCTCCTGATTATGGAGTATTGTTTTATTAAGTTTATTAACTATTAAAAGTTACAAAATGATCATTTGGCTATAGAATGTTGTTTTGTTAAGTCCATCAACTATTAAAAGTTATAAATTGATCACCCGACTATTCATTATGTTCCAAACTCGTATTTTTCCGTTAAAAAATTAATGATTGTCTAAGTTGGACTTTAGCATGATGACTAGGATATGATAGTCATTTGAGATTTCGAGATTAGATTTTATCATATCATAGTTAGTAGATTAACGTTTAACTCAGAATAACGTCAAATTTTTAACGAAAAATGACGAGTTTTGAATATAATGAATAGTTGGGTGACCATTTTGTAACTTTTAATAATCAAAGGATTTAATAAAGTAATGTCATATAGTCGGGGATTATTTATATACTTTACCCTTGGTATAAATGTATTATATGATCGAATATGGGTCAAAATAGAGAATTTCAATCAAAATACTTCATAATATTTTTAGAACTAAACCGGACCGAGTTGAACATCCCATTTATCTCTCCTATAAATACAAGCCTCCATCTCTGTATTTCAGAAATTTGTAAATCTAAGATCTCCATAGCCATAGGCATTACGTAAAAAAAAAAAAATGGGGACGGAAGGCATGGATGAAGCGAGCAACATGAAGGTGGTGTTGAAGCACTACGTATCCGGTTCAGCGCAAGAAACCGACATGCATCTCACTGCGGGAACCATGAAGCTTAAAGCCCCAGACGATTCCAATGCAGTCGTCGTCAAGAACCTCTTCCTCTCCTGTGATCACTACATGATCTTCAAAATGACGAAGCACGATCGATACGCCGATCCCTATCCTCTCGGTTCGGTAATTTCATTATTCCATCCTCATCATCCTTATCGATCGAGTCTTATCGTGTTTTGAGAATTGTTTCGAGAAATGAATAATGGTATGAATCATGATTGTTTCGATAATTAGAAACCATATCATTTATGTTTTTGATGATTAGAAATTGTTTCGATAATTTATTTGGAACGTACAGCCTATAACTGGATATGGCGTGGCTAAGATTTTGGATTCAGCACATCCCGACTTCGCAATTGATGAATTGGTCTGGGGAATAACGGGTTGGGAAGAGTACAGTCTGATTTCAGACACTACAAATCTGATCAAAATCGAACACCCCGATGTGCCTCTTTCATACTATACTGGAATTCTCGGTAACTATCGTTATTTTTCGAGTCGGATTGTTCGGGATCGAAATGTTTTCGACCACTCGAATTTCGTGTGTGTAACATGGTTGGCATGGCAGGTATGCCTGGGATGACAGCATATGTTGGTTTCTATGAACTTTGTGCTGCAAAGAAAGGAGACCATGTGTTTATTTCAGCTGCTTGTGGTGGAGTTGGTCAGCTGTTGGGGCAGTTCGCCAAGCTCCACGGTTGCCATGTCGTCGGAAGTGCCGCGAGCCCCGAGAAGGTATCCTTTCCGTGTTATCCGTATTTATATGTTACATCGACTCTTCGTTTCTAATAAAATGTCCAATTTTGACATTGAAAAGGTTGATCTATTGAAGAACAAATACGGATTTGACGAGGCTTTCAACTTCAAAGATGAGCCGGACTACAATGCTACGTTGAAAAGGTTACTCGCAACGACCGCAATTCCGTCGCTCCTACTCGAGTAAGAGTAACATAATCGAAATCTAACGATTACCCTTTATTCCTGATGCAGGTATTTTCCCGAAGGCATCGACATTTACTTCGACAACGTCGGCGGTAAGATGCTAGACGCCGTCCTACTGAACCTGAGGGCCAACGCTTGCGTAGTGATGTGCGGCATGATCACTCACTACCACTTGGAACAGCCCGAAGGCATCCACAATTTGCCATTGATGGTGAACAAAGAAGCCCGGATTCAAGGCTACCTTGCTGTGGATTACTACCATCTCTACCCCAAGTACCTTGAAACAATCCTGCCATTGATTAAAGCATCCAAAGTTGTGTACGTGGAAGACGTCGCAGATGGCCTGGAAAATGCGGCTAAAGCGCTCGTCCGGATGTTAAGTGGCCGTAACGTCGGCAAACAGGTGGTTGCAGTTAACTTCTTGTGATCGAAATTCGAATCCAAAACTAAATTAATGGTTTATTTACAGTTAACATGGAGAGAAAGATGCTCGATGCACAACTTGATATATATCATTGACGTGAGTAAAATTAAATTCGATCTTAAAATACATATTTTTAATTTCGAGTTATTTAAATTTATTTAAATTAGTGAATCATTTTCTGAATATCGAATTATTTAAGTTTATTCAAGTATTTTCTGAACGTAAATCTGATGTCTTTTTAATCGAAAGATGTCTAAAATTACATAAACTAACATTTGAATAATTCAATTATTTAAGTCAAATATGTTCTTTTAAATATTTTTTTGTCATTTCTATTTATTGTTTTTGGATGATCATTAGTTTATGGTTTACGTGATTTAAAGTTTTGGGATGATAGAGATTCGATGTTGAAGAAATGAAGGTGGGTGTACATTAGGGGTGTTCAAATTCGGGTCACAAAAATTTGACTCATGACTCGGTTCGTAAATGGTTAGTATTCGTAAGTTAGGTATTCATAAAATTTGGGTACCTGTATATTCGAGTCATGGATATCTGATTATTCTATTTTAACCTTTTAATTTATATTAATTTTAAAAAACAGATAGAAAAAACATAAAGTTTAGAAATTAAAAGTTTATAATACATAACATAAATATAAAGTTATAACTAAATTTAAAATAACTTAACATTAAAACAAATAATTTAAAAAATAATTTAAATGTTAAGGTCAATAACTTGAAGAAAAAAATATAGATTTAGAGGGTAAAATAATTTTAAAATTAGGAATAAAAATTCTAATGTAAAATAAAAATAGTAATAAAATTAAAAAAAGAAATCGGATCGACGAGTATCCGGTTAAGAGTAATTTTTTTTATTTGGGCCCGATCTTAAAATTCGTCAAAAATAACAGGTCGGCTACCCGATTGCAAAATCTGATATTTACCTCTAAAATACTCGATAATTTTATACTTAATAGACGGGTCAACTAGTCATGTAGTTCGAGTCGAGTATTTCTAGACACTAGACAAATTCAATAATGATTATTAATTAGTTGGATATGATATAAGAGGTGACAATGGTGATGATTTGAGTAAAGGAATATATAATTATTCAAGTATAGATTAATGTTCAATTAATTATTAATTTGAGATGATAGGCAAAAGAAATAAGAAATGAGAATAATAAGCAATAAAAAAGATGGTCATTGGAAAGCCTATTTTGGATATCCGAATCCGAATATAAAATTTACCACTCTGTTAAAAGATTTCGAAAATGAATGCCGAGTATTTCCCATCTAAAGAAGATATAATTTTGCAGAATGAATTTCACGGATCTAAAACCAAAATGAAAGATAAATGCATGTCAACGAAAAAGGAGAAAGAGACTAGTCAATGGGTTAAGCAAGCGGTCATCGGGTCAAGTAAGTATTTGACAGTTTAATTCAGTTTTGCATTACCTAAGTTAACAACGGTTAACGTCAAGTTACCATTTTATCACATATCGATAACGTTGGTGATTAATTTATAACTTTTAAAAGTTCAATAAAAAAAACCAAAACTTACTTAAATTTTTGTGATCATTAGTATCATTCGGGAATAATCCGTAATGTGAACGTATTTTCCAATTATGATAATTAAACGCGGGATAATATAATATGCTCAAGCCTCCGTATATGGACTCATCAATGATTCCATTCTAGAACATTCGAATTTGACTTCTTTTTCCCTTTTCTGTTCACATCACTATAAGATCATCACGTCTGTGCAAGCTTCTTCACATTGAATTCTGATTCCCCAATTTTCTCGAGTTTTTTGTTTGGTTTCAAGCAACAATGGCTGGTGAAGAATCGGTGAGGAACAAGCAGGTGGTTCTCAAGAACTATGTGGATGCCGGTTTACCCAAAGAATCGGACATGGAGATAAAAGAATCCACCATTCATTTGAAAGTACCAGAGGGTTCCAAAGATGCGATTTTAGTCAAGAATCTCTACTTGTCTTGTGATCCTTACATGAGAAATCGCTTGAAGAATATCCAGGGCTCGTATGTGGCGCCTTTCCAGATTGGCTCGGTGAGTTGGATTATTGCATCTTTAAAATAAAAAAATAAAAAAATATCCGCTTTTTTCAGCTTTTTAAAGAATTTTTCCAGATTGGGTCGATTTGAAGTTTTGTGATTACAAGTCCAAGTGTCGTAGATCATATGTTGGTGAAAATGTTCATATATTAAACTTCTAGGTTCTTTCGGATTATGTTCGTTGACTGTTAAATAAATCTTAATCTGGAACCATGGATGATGGATTAGAGGTGCAACAACAGTGAATTGTCTTAGACGTTCAAGATTCAAGAACGATTCTTAGAGATAATTGTGTTTAGATTTTCAGTGACCAAACCCTTAACAGCAGTCCTTAATGACTGAGCTCTCTCACATTCTCCAGATTCAAATGGAATGAGGGTCGGGCACGGGTATGTTGCATGTGTATATTCAAAATTTTCTCATAATTTTGGAGGATCATAGTAAATTATGATTGTGCTGAGTACAAATGCTGCAACTGAAACCGAGTTCCGAATCAATTTCGAATAATGGGAAGAAAAGAGAAGAAAAAGAACATGTGGGTTTCTGATTCTAATCGTATTTACTTTGCCTTTAAATGTTGACATCCTGCAGCCTTTAAGCGGTTATGGAGTTGCCAAAGTTTTGGATTCTACTCATTCGAGATACGCAAAGGGCGATCTCATTTGGGGGATTACTGGTTGGGAAGAGTATACACTCATAACAGCGGTCGATGCAGTGTTCAAAATTCAAAACACAGATGTTCCCCTTACCTACTATACAGGACTTCTTGGTAAGTTGATTTCTAATTTGTGAAGATGACATCAAATCTATACTAAAAGGAACGGCATTTACTAGATATATATGTAGTGGTTTGTTACTTGGACTTGAGTGTGAGTGTCGGATACGGGTTATGTGTCCGACTCAGTTATATTCATTTCCGTAATTTTCTCATGTGTTTGGAGGATCATATCGTTGTACCCATGTCCGACAATGTGTCTGGCAGGAGTACTTTAAACAAAACAAAGTCGGAACATTGATGTACCCACTCCATTAGCCTTGGAGAGTAAATCTCTACATAAACATAAGCAAGTAATCTGTCTGAAATCGATGAAGAAATTATGGATCATATTCGAAGCAAATAATGCTAATTTTTTCTTATCACTGAAAATTGTTAGTTATAATGTGCTGTGAGAGGGATAGAAACATCAAGGATACATATTCTCAAAGAACATAGTCATGAGAAACTGAACAAAGTGAAGCCACATAGTTTAGTTTCTTGCCACTTATTATCTGGGTAACATCCTATTAGTAATCCAGATTTAGTTATCGGCCCTGATATTATGTCACTACCAAGTGCGAGCAAAACCTGTAAGGTTGATAAGACGTGCAAAGTAAGGAGGACATCTATTGAGTTTAGGACTTCTTTTTAGCTCCATAATGTTTCTTTCCATCAAAGTGATCTTTATGTTGTCATTGTAGGTATGGCCGGTATGACTGCTTATGCTGGTTTTTACGAGATCTGCTCCCCTAAGAAGGGGGAGTATGTTTATGTATCAGCTGCATCTGGAGCAGTTGGTCAGCTTGTGGGGCAATTTGCAAAACTGTTAGGCTGCTATGTTGTCGGAAGTGCTGGTAGCAAAGAGAAAGTAAGTATTCGGTTTTGTCATTTCTACCTTCATCTTCCTTTTTTTCCTTTTTATTCTAAACATCTTCAAAATTTCTTTATCAAAGGTCGATTTGCTGAAGAATAAGTTCGGGTTTGATGCGGCATTCAACTACAAAGAAGAACCAGACTTGGATGCTGCTTTGAAAAGGTCAGTGGTACAATTCCCTAAGTACATCAGTAGTTGCTGACCAGGCTGGCTCAATTCTCGAATTACATGATACATTTTACCAACCAAAGTAACAACAGTTCCTCCAATGCTGTACCATTTTGGCAGATTCTTCCCAGAAGGCATTGATATCTACTTTGAAAATGTTGGGGGAAAGATGCTCGATGCTGTGCTGGCCAACATGAGGGTCCATGGTCGTATTGCTGCATGTGGAATGATCTCACAGTACAATAACGAGCAGCTCGATGCAGTGCACAACTTGATATATATCATACCGAAAGCAATTAGGATGCAAGGGTTTATCGTTACTCATTTCTATCACCTTTATCCCAAGTATCTAGAAATGGTGATACCATACATCAAAGAAGGGAAGATAACATATGTTGAAGACAAAGCCGATGGCCTGGAGAGCGCTCCAGCAGCTCTGGTTGGCCTCTTCACCGGTCGCAATGTGGGGAAACAGTTAGTTGTAGTCTCCCATGACTGACTTTACTGCAGAACTTTCAGAGGTAATCCGTGTATGTGTGGTGTTTCTTTACTATTGAATGGTAAACATAAATAACATGTTGGTCGTGTTAGACATGTCCAAGTGATCGTATTTTGATGTTTGTTCTCGTGTATAAACATTTTGATGTTTGCTCTCGTGTTTATACATTCGATGTTCGGATTATGATTACCTATCATGATGTTTAACTATAATGTTTTTTTGATTGAACAAAAGGATATTTGGAACAGTTTACCCTGAGAACAAATAGATTGAACCTGGAACCTAATATACACCACGATAAGCTCGATTGACAAAATATGCATATGTATTGAAGCTTGTAGGCAAAAACATAAAACTATGGAGTTGGAGTAACATTTTTCACACATAGCTAGAATCTTTTACTAGACTTTGACTATGCAATCTTCCCTAAACTTGATTATTATAGAAAATATTTAACTTCCTCACTAGAAAAAAAATATCCCACAACACAAGTATAAAAAAGCAAAATCGTCTTATCACACCGATAACTTGGAAACTTCTTAGAACTTATAGAGGAAAAGAATATCCACGAAGATATTTGGAATCTACACCCGACTCTCGCACCAGTGCTATACGTCCGGTTCGAGCAACCTAATACAAAGAAAGGAATGTAATGAATATGCATCCGATGCGAAAATATTCAGTGTCATTTTTCTTTTACTTTTATCATATATTCATGTTCGAATATGTTTGAGACAAATATACTTGGCGAAATAAATGATCTCCGTGTAAGTTGATGTATCTTTCTATGAAGTTTTTGCATGCACTGCGTTAATGATTATTAAAGAATAAGAAACGTTATGGTAAATTTCTTAATGAAAGACGAACCTCGCAAATACCATAGGGCTCCAACAATCTCTGCAGTGCCACCATCTTGTCTAGATCTCCAGTGAGCTGGAATATGCATTGAAAAACAATGTCATGAAGAAGATCGGCAGTCGGAAAGTACTGTTACTAGAATGCAAAATCATCCCGGCCTACCGGCTACCACGCAAACATCAGACTTCACAGTTCACATGCAATAGGTGCTTATATTACTTGCATTCGTGAATAGGATCAGATAAAACGCTTCATGTGGGTATGTTATAACTTTTCTAAGTTTTTATGCATATTTAGAGAATACCCTAGAATACAGATGTCCAGTGCGGATACTTTTGGGGAAAATGACAATGGATCTAAAGAAGCATGGTCCATCGCACATCCATCCAGCTATCTTACCATCTTCTCATTCCAAAGACAAGCAAGAAAAGAAGGAAGATAGTGGACACGGGTGGAACATTTCTGTGTAACCAGTGTACTAATTTTGCGTTCTATCGTATGCATATTACACATGAGAATGTTAGCACAGAAACTGGTAATTTGTCCATCCATAAAATCACCTCATATAAGATAAAAGAAGCTAAAGCTGAGAATCTAAAACGAGTATGTGTTCAATCGGGGCATCCTCGTGTTTGAATATATATCAAGGGATTTCAGATACAAAGACATCTAGGCATCCAAATAACTATACCTCGAGAGTGACAGTGTGGTCAGAAACATCAACAGCCTTGGCCCTAAAAATGTTGGCAATGTCAAGGACGTCTCTTCTAGCAGCAGCATTAACAGCAATCTTTATCAACATTAATTCTCGTTCAGCAAAGGGCAAGGGTGTAAGATCCCGTACCTAAGAAGTGAATTCACTGTCAGCCATTATGTTCAGTTACGATATCATAAGAAAGAAACCTTCAATTATGAGACCAGCAAAGAGATTTACACAATGGATAATGTTGTGTTCATCAAATATCAACATCAAAAGATCAAAAAATGTGAAGTACTGTATCTTGGCATATGCAGTTCAAAGAAATGATCAATAACTTACATGGATTTCGGCAATTCCAATGGAATCACCTTAAATGAACTTCTTTTCTACGTGTACAAAGTCAAATATGAGAATTTAGGATCATGAGAATCATGGAGTTACAGGCTAACATTACGCAAGTTGTCTGGGGAAGTTACTTGGCAATAAATAAAAAATATAGGCACATATGTTTCCTGGATTCGGGTGTAAGAAATTCATAGTTTTATAGCTGCTGCTCCAGCAAATTTTGAGAAATGCACCCTTCCAAATAATCTCACCTCGTGCATATCTACTAGCTTGTAGAGTTGCTGCACTAATTTGCTAATTGATTCATCAGTACCAGGAACGACAGTTGTAATGCGAGACAGCCCCTCAACTTCTGCATGTCCAACAGCCAAACTCTGAGGAGAATAAAAATGATTCAGTAGATGACAAACCCCTAAAATCAAAGCAGGAGAGATACCAGAAACATTTACAGACACTCACCTGAAGATTATAACCTCTTCGAGCAAAAACACCCGTAACAAGGTTTAGAACTCCCGGAGAGTCACTAACAAGCATGGATAAAGTATGCGATTGATGTCCACTCGTCTGAGACATTAGCACAAATGGAAGTGGTTTTAGGTTAAAAATACATGAGATACCATAAAGATACATTTTAAATAAGAACAAGAATTTTGACTCTAGAAGAAATGTTAGGTCAGCACCAATAAGCTGGGAACTTGAAGAACTTAAAACCAAAAATCCAAAACTAGTATTAGCTTATATCTGCTTCTCTTTGTTTTACTAAATTCAGAAGCCTTAAAGCTCTTAGAGATTATTTTCTTAATTGACAACATCAACCTTATTGTTGATTTTCCTATTGGAATAAAATGATTGAACTAAGCTCTGAGCGACTTATTTGTTTAAAGTTAAGGTTCCCTGAAAACACAAGTATTTTGAAATTAAGCAGCAGTGAAACTACATATATCATCATTTAAAGGATCACAGTAAGTAATGCCATCTGCATTAACTTGGAAGATATAAGAAAGTTCAAAGAGACAGCTCATCCTATGCATGAAGGACAAGACAGTACAATTTTCATGCTTGGAAAGAAATGAACCATATTTTCTTCATGGATTATATTGAGTCCCAAAAAGTCTTCGCTAAAGTATAACATGATTATACATGTAGAGAAAGTAAAAAAAAAAAAAACCAAGAAGTTGAGTGCAAGTAATTTACAAAGTCACTTCCTACTACACTAGCAAATTTATCCAGTATAGTACCTTTTGGAACATAGAATCAACTGTGTTCTAAAACGAGAAATAAAATTTCAGAGTCAAGCTACACAATTCCTATGAATCATTTAGCTTCTGGTTCTCATGTATACTTTAACAGCTAACAGAACATAAGAATCGCAAGAATGGATATGTGAGTGGAAAAGAGAGACTCCAGACTAACAGCCAGCAATAGGCATTCTTACATCGTCATTAATGAGAACACCCCAATGAGCATCAAGAACCTGATTGAGTGTAAAGCCATCAGGTGATTCCACTGGATAAACATCACCCTGCATAAATAGAGAAAAACTCAAACTATAGATTTTGGAGCATGTGCAATGAAGACATATAAGAATAGAAATGCTTACCCCTCCAGAAACATCAGCCTCACTAACTACTGGTCTACCTTTGGCCCCTGCAAGAGGGTTAACAGGTGCTGTTTCTTCAAGATCAGGATATGAAGCTGCTGAAAATCGCCAAAATGGAGCAGATGCACCCATTTTTTCCCTTCTAAGAGCAATCTAATAGGAGATAGGGGATGAGCATACAGAATAATAGCGTTGGACAGATAAATGAAATGTGTTGATGGAAGACTAGTAAAGTACCAACTAGAAAATTTCATCTAGTTTATAGGAAAGCTAATCACCTTTCCTGTTCTAGCAATTTCTTTGATCCCAAACTTGCTTAAATTTCTTTGAACAGCAACCATCTTTCCAGGATCTCCTGTTACCTGGGTTTACCGCATGACATGTAACTTATGATTTACCATTGCAAGAATATAATTCAATCCCTATCCTACCTTTTCCAATAAAAAATAAAAACAATGCTCCATCCTGTAAGTAGCTTTGAGGAATACTCACTTCAAGTGTATATAACAAGGACCACCTATCCAAACTAGGTGAAGCATAAGAGTTATTTTCTTACATTTTCAGTTTTCACTATTTAGACATGTCAAACAATTAGCAATTTAGTTCATGCACCATATAGGAAATTGTTATATTCTTAAAAACTCAAGCTTCTTGTTTACACCATCATAAAATTTCTGTCTCTCTAGTCATCTATATATTTCTATATAAGGGTCCCAGACATAATACAGACATGAGGAGGGAGAGAGTGTTTCTTGCTTCATTTTTAGAACTGGTATTAGGATTTTTTTATCTACTTCAATATCAATAACCAAAATGGAATTGAGGGAGGGATACGAAACCTTAGTATGACTAACTTGCACGGTGGATCATTATCCAAAATTTGAAAGAAATGCTTTGATTCTTTTAATCTATTGAACAAATTAACGGCCAAAATTCTGAAGCAACAACAAGATAATCTAGTCACACTCAAGAGTTATATAAGCTCTTCCATTCATTACCTCAATGGTTAGTGTGTGTTCTGAGATATCCACAATCTTTGCCCTGAAGATATCCACTAACCACATAATCTGATTAGCAAGAAAATGCAAGTCAGTCAAAGGGAGAAAATTTATCAAGAAACAGACTATAGAAGGAACTCATAAGTCATAACATTCTAAAACTCATACAAGGAATTACCTCAGCTCTGAGCTTCGGATCCGCATTCACTTTTAATAACATCAGCTCACGTTCAACCTGAGGCTCATTAGAGAGATCTTCAACCTGTCCATTGGATTAAAAGACATACTAAAAATTAAATCTTTGCACTATAATTGGTAGGAACGAAAGAGGAAGGAAAGAAAAAAACACTTTCTTCCTACCCTTCCCTTCATTTGATCATTGCCTAATAAAGAAAAAAAAAACTGAAAAAGATTATATATTATACCTTCCAAACATTCACAAGCTTCTGTAACTGCTCCACAACTTGCTGAAGCACCCTATCAGTACCAGAGACAACTATGGTGAAAAGCGCCTTATCTTTGTTCAACCCAACAGCAAGGGACTCAATGTTATACCCTCTCCTAGCAAAAACCCCAGCGATCCTATTGATCATCCCACTCTCATCTCCAACAAACACCGAAATCGTATGCCGCCTCACCCTTGATTCACCATACAAGGCAATAAGAAAAAAAGACCGGAACCAGCAAACTCTATAGTAAGCAAATGAGACCGAAATCAAAAAACCAAAACGAAAAAACAAAGAGTGGATCAAACAACGTACTTTGAACGAGCGGGAGGTGAAGGGACAGGTCCGTTGGCAATGAAAGTGCTGTTCGAGATCTTATCGTCGAGGCACCTAGGAGAAAGCACGAGTTTCTTGGGGACATGGATGATTGGTTTCGCTATCCTCCGAGGAAAAGAAACGGGTTTCCGAGTTGATTCTGACTCGGGCTTTGAGCAGTAGATTTGTAGGTGAGCAGTAGAGAGAGCCGCCATGGAAGCAAAAAAAGCAAAAGATAACAAAGCTAATTAGTATTAGAATATGGAGATATAGATGGTACGGATTTTGTTCGGTTTGTCAAACGGCACCGTTTGGTGTTTTCCTTTCCTGTTTAGAATATAAACAACTGTCATAAGGCAACCGACAGTTAAACCGATTGCCGACTAGACCTGTACCCAGTAGCCCGATTTGTTTGGGCCGGACTTTGGATCCGTATCCATTTGAAGCTCAATTTAAATTTTCATTTTAATAAATAAAAATAATTTTTTATTTAAACTTAATTAATAAAAAGGGTTAAGTAAGCAAAAGGTCCCTGACTAGAGGGTACGACTTTATTAACTCCCTCAATTATTAAAAATTACGAAATGATTCTTTAACTATAAAGTATTGTTGTGTTGAGTTATGATCGGCAAAACCCTCGTCATGAGTCAAACTCTAGTGGCAGGACTGGTGGGAGAGGATGTAGTCGTCCTCGCGTTCAGTGCCAACTCTGTGGCAAAAATGGTCATCTGATGGTTGACTGCTGGTACCAATTTGATCAAACCTTCTATGGGAAGGCCTCTGATCATGATCATTCTAAAGATGAATCTTGTATATCAGCTACTCCAGCCTTGAGATGGGATCTAGTAACGATGAAAGTTACCCGTGTTGTGCTAAAGGTCGAGCTGAAGTTCAGATGTGTTATTAGTCTTCACCTCAAGCACATGGTGTTACTGCCACTAGAGAGCATTGGGTGGTTGATTTTAGCGTCACTCATCACGTGACTCCAGATGCAATCAACATTGCTAAGAAAACGAGTTTTCTGGTCCAGGTAACTTCGTTGTGGGTAATGGTGTTTCTTTAAATGTTAATGGTATTAGTAGTTCAGTGTTTTGCTCGTCCTCTCGAGCTTTGATGTTGAATGACTTATTACATGTCCCTAAGATAACGAAAAATCTGCTTTCAATCTCTAAGCTTGCTAGGGACAATGGTGTTTATTTTGAGTTCCATACGTCAAATTGCTGCGTTCGAGATGAGAAGTCTGGTGTTTTGTTGCGAGGAAACAAGAAAGATAGACTGTACTCGTTTGAGGTGGATACATCAGCATGTAGATGTCCTTTAGCTGAAGCAAATTTAGTGTGTACTTCGAATTATCGTTTGTATGATCTTTGGCATAGACGCCTAAGGTATCTTGCACATGAAATCCTAGAGCAAGTATGAAAAATAGTCAATGTAAATATTGAAAAAGATCTGAATAAACTTTTTGTTGCTTGTCAAATAGGTAAAAGCCATAAGCTCCCTTTTAGCGATTCTGATTTTGTTTATAACTTGCCCTTTCAACTGATATGTATATATATTGTGGGGACCCTCCCATGTTATTTCAAATGGATGTCGTTACTATGTGAGTTTTGTCGATGCTTGCACACACCACACATGGCTATATTTACTTAAGGATAAATAGCAAGCGGTTCATGTTTTTCATCTTTTTCAGCAGTATGTTTTGACACAATTTGATGCACGAATCATGGTTGTTCAGAGTGACTTAGGAGAAGAATTCAGGAGCTTGTCCAGCGTGTTACAGAAGGCTGGTATTTCGTATCGTCTGACTTTCCCTCACACGTTCGAACAGAACGGCATTGTGAAAAGAAAACATAGACACGTTATAAAGCTTGTGCTTGTGCTCCTTGCTCAAGCGTCAATTCCAGTTAAGTTTTAGGCGATGCTGCTGTTATGGCCGTGCATCTTATCAATAGGTTGCCGATAAAAGTTCTGTAAGGTGCTTCTCCATTTGAAAAGCTGTTTAAAAAGACACCTGATTACAGTCTGCTTAAGGTGTTCGGGTGCCAATGTTTTCCTCATTTGAGACTGTTCAACAGATATAAGCTGGAGTTTCGTTCCCAACCTTGCACATATTTGGGAGTTAGCGCACGACATATAGGCCACTTGTGTCTTGCACCAAATGGAAGCATATGTGTCAAGACATGTTATATTTGATGAGTGGCAGTTTCCTTTTGCAGGTCAAGGTACTGCCAAGCAACAATCTGCTGCTCCAGTCCCATGCAGGCCACTTGAGGTGCTAGTTGATGTAACAATCTCAATGATCGTTGTGCTCTTACTCAAGAGACTTCTGATGCCCAACATAGTACTGCTCAAGAAGATGGTACTGATAACACTCCAGCAAGTAGTCACAACTGCTTTGCTGATACAGAGAACTTTGAGGGGCCAGTTGATAATACTTTTGAACAATCGGAGTCACAAGCCAGTGGTGCCATAAATGATGCAGAACCTAGTACGTTACTTGTTGTTCAAGCAGAAGAACCAGTGGGCACTAGCTTTCTAGATGATGTTATCCCATCCAACGTTCATGAGGCATTTCAGTCATCAAAGTGGACAGAAGCAGTCAATGCTGAGTTCTCTATGTTGCAACAAAACAACACGTGGGTGTTAGTTGATCTGCCCAAGGATATGAGTGTCGTTGGCTACAAATGGCTATTAAAGCTTAAAAAATCCTGATGGTACTATTCAACGCTACAAAGCTAGGCTAGTAACAAAAGGCTACTCACAAGTGCATGGGCATGACTTCAAAGATACCTTTAGTCCTGTTGTCAAGTTCTCCACTGTGTATGTCATTCTCACCATTGCTTTCACGAGATGGACTTTTTTATGTCAATAACACGTTCTTAATTGGCGAGTTAAGTAAAGATGTCTACATGCAGCAGCCACCTGGGTTCGAACGGTGTTCTTCTAGTGGAACTCAGCTCGTGTGTAAGCTGCAGAAGGCGATGTATGGGCTGTGTCAAGCTCCTAGCAACTGGAATGAGAAGCTTAAGAGCTGTCTTCTGAAGCTGGGGTTTATGGAGTCCCGAGCTGACGTGTCGTCGTTTGTACTCGAAAGAAGTGGTTGTTACACTTACATCTTAGTACACGTCGATGACATAATAATTATAAGACATTCGGATGAAGAATTTGAAGCGGTTGTGCAAATGCTCAATGATAAGTTCTCACTCAAAGACTTTAGAGCCCTCACTGTTGGTAAGATGGCCAAATATATACTTTTGTATATATATATCTTACACATTGAGGACTCAGGTGGATAAAGGGTTAGTTGTGTGTTATGAATTTACCCTCATCTTAGAAAGTTCTAGACTCGTTTCACTTATCTAAGAGAATGATTGTTCATCATCACTATATACTAGTTCCAGATATGTTCACTAGTGGTTAAGCAACTAATCTCACTATTGCTCTTTTGGAAAGTTTGTTTTTGAGTTTCAGAAGAATTCTTTCGCATTAGTGGGGGAATGTTGGTAATGCTCAATCCCACATAGTATTGGAAATACTATTGAGAATGGATATTTATGGTTTGGATTTACCACTTCCTTGTTGAGTGAAAGAGAACAAGGGGGACTCTCGCGCACCGCCGTCGTCCGTCTCGGCTCGGCTCGTGGTCGTGGACTATTTTTTGAGTCAGGTTCATCTAGACGTTTCAGCTGTTACAACATAAGAGATTTATCCTGAAATTTTATGGACGATTTTAACTCTATTTCTAGCCTATAAATAGAGGTCTATATTCAGCTTCTCAACTTACTCTCAACATTCAGAATTTACTCTCCAAGTATTTTCTAAATATTCTCTCAACTTATTCTCAACATTCAGAATTCACTCTCCAAGTGTTTTCTAAATATTCTCTTTGTGTTCTTTCCGATAAGAAGATCAATATCACCGGCAGTCCACTCCGATTTCGGGTGTACGGAATTTAGAGCGACCGTGTTAACCTCGGGGGACGGTCCGCCTACTGCAGCAATTACACACATCGAGGTAAATTCGTTTCTAAGGCAGTGGTTATATCACGACACGGTTTACGAATTTGTTCTTTTTAATTACTGTTTATATTTTCAGTCAGTGCTAACGGTATAGTTTTGCAGTTCATATATCCAACACTCACATACTTTCTTGACAGTGAAGTGAAGAGGAATGGGGATATTTTGGCTCTTAGCCAAAGGAAATATATACTAGAGTTAGAACAAACATGATAAAGGCCACGGCCACTTGCACACCAATGATATCTGCCTCAAAGGTTCAACATCTGTCAATGTGTCTACAATACAAGCGTAATTACAATGAGCGTGAACTCGGTGTATCACGCGAGGTCGAAACAAGTTGACTTAGACATTCACTTTGTTAGAGAGAAGGTTGCAGCATGTCAACTTCGGGTGAGGTATGTTCCAGCGAGTTTCCAAGTGGCTACAAAGCAATTAGCTAAAGCAGCTTTTGAATTGTTCAAAGACAAAGTTCGAGTATTGCCATGTTAAGAGAGGAGAGATGAAGTTGGGAGTACGATACGTGGCGAATCATGGTTATAGTCATTTAGCGAAACTAAAGTTGTTAAGAGAAATTATGTTGTAAGCGGGTAATGTAGTGTATAAAAAGGGCTGTAAATCTCAGTATTCAAGACACGACTTTCCTTATTTCTGTAGAAAACTCTATCCAAAATTGAGTTGATCTTTAAAGTCGAGTTAAAATTAAAATTGATTAAATTAAACCAGAAAATTGAATTATATATACTAGATCGATTTTTATCAATTTTTTTCATCTATATCTGAATTCTATTAAGACCTGTTAAAGGATTTAGATATAAGAAAATCAAGTCCTTCAAACCCATGTGGTATGTTACATAGGATATTTATTGGTCAATGACGGTAATTTAACTCGAATTTAACAAGTTCTGACCCCATACGATTGGGTCAAAAAAATTTAAAAATAAATCATATTCGAGTAGGGTTGAATTTTTGAAGGGGTGAGGTTGGGTCGGGTGGATGGTGAAAAGACTCCAATCTGACCCGACCCGAGGATAATATAATTTTTTTTAAATATTTATTTTTTAATTAAATCCTTAATTTATATCGGGTCGAGTCGAATCATATTTATACTCTAAAAATCAGGTCGAGTCAGAGTCGAGTGGAGGATATATTATTTTCGGGTCCGATCGAGTTCAGGTGGAGGGTGCATATTTTCGGGTCGGATCGAATTGACCAAAGACCCGACCCTAACCTGACGTGT